GAGAACTGCATCTTTTGTGTGAAGCTCAAATTGAGGTCAGAGTAAAAAACCAAACCGAAAATTCTGTCGAGTGCATAGACTCTCTTTTGTCTTTTTCTGTAATAAACTAACATAGGGTATGGCTCTCAAATCTTGCATCTTGCAAGCATATAGTTTCTGCACTCTGACCTACTTTTTGGCTGTAGGTTCCTCTGCTTAAAAGATCGTGCCCCGAAAGATCCACTTCTTGCTCCTAAGTCAAAAAAACATGGATTCAGATCTTGACATTTTCAGCCTCACAGGTTCCAGTGTCAAACTCTAATTTTAAAATGGGTATGATATTTGCTTTTGTGCTTCTTATGTTAATGGTACTCCATTGTGGAATTTGCCTGCCCCTTCGTCTGGGCCAACTGTCCCCTTATTCTAACAAGATGAGGGTCTCCTTCTCCTTAACACTGGCATTCCTTACAAGTCCTGCCACTCTGAACACTCCCGAGAGATTTTGACACCTGAGGGAGAAAAACCGAAAGATGCCTCGTATACAGAACTTAACAGTTCGCCACTCTTCAGTGGCACCTTAAATCTGACAAGCAATAGAAGAAACAAAGAAGGGAACAAAAACCTAAGCCAAAAAAAATGAATTAAGAATCAAAAAGGTTAATTGGATACAAAATAAGGGGGTTAATATTAATTTCAATAAGTATAAATAGGGTTGCCAGGTCTACTTACCCGGCTAGCAGAGGATGGGAGAGAGCCTACCAGGAATGGGGAGGTTGGGGCGACATTGCTGCATGTGGAAGTGACGTCATCATGTCAGACATGTTGTGTGGCAACACTCTTAGCATTTTGGTCAAAACTCTATGGTTACCATAGAGTTTTGGAAAATGCTAGAGTGCCACCACATGATGTGCCCAGTGTGATAACGTCACTTCCATGTGACGTCATTGCACTGACAACATCGGCGCATGAGAGGGCTGTTTGTGGTAGGGCTTCCCCCACTGACCAGCTGGTGGGCGGCAGATTGGAGCCCCCAAAATGGGGGAAACCTCACCTCGACTGTGGGCCTGGCAACCCTAAGTATAAAACATCGATAAATAAATGATGCAAATTATACAAAAATACATGTATTTATTACAGATTCTTTTAAAAACAATTATAGGCCCAAACATAGCGTCAATAAGACTACAATTCATACAATATTTCAAAATTAGGACCTTATGCAACCCTAAAACAGATGCGTTTCGGCCTACTGGCCTTCTTCAGTGGTCAAGCATAAACTTTACACATAGACTCGGTTATTGCAATAATAATATTAGACAATATTATCTGACAATAATAATCTTTTTGGTTCTTAATAACCTTAAATCTGACACCCGCATCACTGCGGCTCCTGACAAATAAGGCTGTCCCTTGAAAAAAATATATCTATACCGGGCCTTGCCAGTCTGACCACGCTGCCTCTTGCCCTTTACTAGCCTGACACCCCCTTCTTCTGTCTCCCCAACCCCGTCCCCACCCAGATCATTCGTGCTTCGACACCCTCTTCCACTTTGAGGACATGCAAGAGATCATAAAGAACTTCGTGGTGATCCATGTGGACGCGCCTGGCATGGAGGAGGGCGCCCCGGCCTTTCCTCTGGGGTGAGCCTTCCAGCCCCCACTCCCGTCCCACCCTCATGGTTGGGTGTGATGGGGACCCTGCCCAGCTGTCTAACGCAGCCCCCGTTTTCTGCTTCTTTGCTTAGGTATCAGTATCCCTCACTGGACCAGCTCGCTGACATGATCCCCTGCATCCTGCAATATGTCAAGTGAGTCTGGGCGGGATGATGTGGTGGGGGGAGTGGTGGTGGTGGGGTGATGGGAGAACATCATCTGGCAAGGAGCAATTTGGGTCTCCCATCAGCATCGCAAAAGGGAGCGGCTCAGTCCGGAAGGTAAAATCAGAATACACACATCCCACAAAGTAATTCGGGGAGAGGTCTAATTTTTTCCTGCACTCCTGCTAAGGTTAGTGCCTCTTTCCTGAGTGAGGTTCAGGGTATTTAGCAGCTACTTGACTAGAAGGAATTCGACAGGTACCGCTTTCCCAATATAAAGATGTCACGGTCGGGTGGGATATACCTATTGCTTCTTGCTGACCTGCTGAAGGAATCTTAACCTGTTCCATGTTTTCGTACAATAGACTTCCACTGTGCTCTCAGATAATGTTGCCAAGTTCCCTCCAGCAACCAGTGTGTGCTGGGGGGGGGGAGTTTGTGGGTGGTTGGAGCCCCCACCGACAACATTCTGGTGTCACTTCCTGCACGCACTGGAAGTGATGTCAGTGCGAAGCAGGTGACACTCTGGCATTAAGGCATTTAACAGTAGAGTTTTACTCAAATACTAGAGCATCCCCGGTGTCCCCCAGCGACATTCTGACATTGCTCTGGGCATGACCATTTTGGCACCATTTCTCCCCCCCCCCCACTGGCCAGCTAAGAGGCAGCAAGCACTGCCTGCTGGGGGGGGTCCCCCACCCCCAGGGGTGCTGGCAACCCTACTCTCAGAGCATTGTTCTAGTCAAGGAGACCCTTGCTCATTCCCAGCCCTTTTTAAAGCTACTTGGATGTATTTTCACTCCTTTCCCCTTTTAAAGCTCAAAGAACGCCCCCCAGTGCCCAGTTACCTTCCGTCTTGTCCCTTCCCACCCACTAGAGCTGTGGACGCAGCCGGCAAGTTGCGACTTGTTGCAGTCCTCAAAATTAAAAGCCAGCCTCTCCTCCTTGTATGTGCTGTTATTATCACTGCTGTGTAAGCTTATGGGTCATCTTTTTTTGTTTAAGTATATTTTCAGAAGAGGGTTATGGAGGCACAAGATAAATATATATACATTAGAACCATTTGAAAATCTCAAGGGGGGTCTGGGAGCTCCTGCTTTCTCTGTATGTTTCGTAACTCGACCTTCCTCCTTTCCCTCCTGCAGCTTCACCAGCATCATTGGCATCGGAGTGGGGGCTGGCGCCTATGTTCTGGCCCGCTACAGCGTAAGTCACTCTAGACAGAGGAGGGTGGGGACCCACAGCTCTGGCTGTGAGAGAAAGGGCATATTAAAAAAGTTTGCCATGCCAAATGGATGTAGTAAGATCACCTCATGGGAATAAGGCCTTGTCTTGTGAGGACGGCCAGCCTTTGAGTTCATACTAGGCCACAGGAACGCAGGGCCCTGCCAAAGTGGGAACTGGAGTATCTGTTGAACTGAGATGAGGCAGGAAATTGGGACTGGCACTGGGGAGTTAGTGTCATGTTGGAGTTAGGAGACTGAGACGCAGGACTGGATTCAAATCTCAGGTGAGCTATGAACTCACCTGGCCGAGTTAGGCAAGCCATTGTCTTTTCCCCTCTGATGCATACGAATGGCCATCCTGAGCTGTTTCAGAAGGAGTACTGCAGTAGTGTAGATGAAGGTTGTAGGAATTTAGGAAAAAGCCAGAGCTAGTATAGTGTAGTGGCTGAGAGACAGAGCTGTGAGCTAGAAAGTCCCCCAGTTCAAATCTCACCTCTGCTCCCAAAAATTATTAAAATTAATAATTAAAAACTAATGGATCATCCAGGGCTCTTTTTGTAGAAA